ACACACACACACACACACACACACACACACACACACACACACACGATGGAGTATTACTCGGTTATCAACAAGAATGAAATCATGCCACCTGCAATAACGTGCATGGAACTAGAGGGTATTATCCTAAGTGAAGTAAGTCAGTCAGAGAAAAACAAATATCATATGATTTCACTCATATGGAATTTAAGAAACAAAACAGATGAACGTATGGGAAGGGAAGGAAAAATAAGATAAAAAGAGAGAGGGAGGCAAACCATAAGAGACTCTTAAATACAGAGAACAAACTGAGGGTTGCTGGAGGAGAAGTCGGGGGGGGGCTGGGCTAAATAGGTAAAGGGCATTAAGGAGGGCACTTGTTGGAATGAGCACTGGTGTTATATGTAGGGGATGAATCACTGGATTCTACTGAAATCGTTGCTACACTGTATGCTGACTAACTTGAATGTAAACAAAATTTAAAACTTTTTGAAAAAGGAAGGTAAGTGTTCCCTATTAATACTGTTATGGGTTTACAAAATTCTCTGTCGAAACAAAAAATATTTTTGTAAACAGGATAGTCATTTAGGGTCAGCTTTTGGCTATTCAACTGAAGCTATATATTAGCAACATGAAAATCATTTTAACTTTAAGAAAAGTTATCTCATATGATGGATATTGCCAATGGAAGAAAACAAGAACCAGGAACTGAGTGGAAGGGGCTCCAATCCCAGCTCATCTGATTATTAGCTATATGAACACCTTGGCTAAATTGTTTCTCCTTTTAAATGAGTTTTAAATATTTGAGATTAAAACCACTTTATCGAGATGACAAATTGCACACATTTAAAGTGTCCAGTCTGATGAGTGCGGACAGACGTGTATTTCCATGAACCCATCACTAATGGAGCAGTGAGCACACTTACCCCCCAGAAGCTTCCTCCCTGACAACTAATGGTATGAGGGTCTAGGAGCAGACCTGCACGTGGAATCCTCTGGTCAGTGTTCTCCATTCTGTCCCAGTGACTAAGAGAACTGGTTTCGTTACCGTAGCTCCATCCAAGGTTGTAATGTGTGCCGGGCCTGGCGCATAGGCTGCCCCGTGACTCAGCCAGGGGTGCTGTCCACGCTGCAGCCCCTAGAAGGTGCCCAGGAGCTGCTGAGCACGGCCCGGCCTGTGCGCTCAGAGGCGGTCCTGCTAGGGCTCTCCATCCCTCTTTGCTGGTTTTTCCAGATGAACCTTAGTGGTAGTCTGTCAGTTTCCAAAGGCAAACTGAGCAAAACCACGTGTGTGCGAATGCCTGTATGCCTTCCGAGAGAAAAGGTGTCATTAAAAATCAGTGGTAGGGGCGCCTGGGTGGCTCAGTCGGTTAAGCGGCCGACTTCGGCTCAGGTCACGATCTCAGTGGTCTGTGAGTTCGAGCCCGGTGTCGGGCTCTGTGCTGACAGCTCAGAGCTTGGAGCCTGTTTCAGATTCTGTGTCTCCCTCTCTCTGACCCTCCCCCGTTCATGCTCTGTCTCTCTCTCTGTCTCAAAAATAAATAAACGTTAAAAAAAAAATTTTTTTTTAAATCAGTGGTAAAAAATGGAATGTGTGATACGTGCCTAGTATTTAGACAAATTAATGTCAGGCCTCCGACTCCTTATACCAAAACAAATTTCAACCAGATCAAGTATTTGAATGTAAAAATATGAACTCTCAAAAGTACTCTAACAATCACTTTGGAGAACTGGTGGCCTTTGCAATATCATAGACCGTATTCCTTGTACTGTGCCTTTTATCCCCATGACTTACTCACCCTATAACTGGAGGCCTGTATCTCTCTTGCCTTCACCCATTTTCCCCAACTCCCCCTCCCCTCCGGCAACCATCAGACTGTTCTCTGCATTATGGGTCTGATTCTGCTTTTTTTCCTTTCTTTTGGTTCCCTTTATTGGGCCTTAGTACAAAGTTGAGCAAGTGGCATCTTGAGCTCCTTCTCCCCCGGCGACAGGAACCGGGAACAGCGTCGCTCCCCTCCTCTGGCTCGGCTGTTACTGCTCTCTATTCGTCCTCTGGGAAGACTCCCTAGCATGATATCATACAGAAATACTGTTTGAACTTACCTGGTCTTTCCACTTACCTTTGTTGAATCTCAGACCGCCCTTCTGGAATTGACTTCTGTCATGTTGAAATCCTTTCCAAGTTCATTTAGAACAGACTCTGGAAGCTCCCTCCGCGTTTGCTTTCTGGCAAATGTTTTTATCCTCCCCCCACCCCCCCCTTTTTTTTTTTTTAACATTTATTTATTTATTTTTGAGAAAGAACACAAGCCCGGAGGGGCAGAGGGGGAGAGACAGATCCCAAGCAGGCTCTACACTCAGTGTGGAGCCCGTCACAGGGCCTCATCCCATGACTGACTGTCAGATCACACCCTGAGCCGAAATCGAGAGTCGGATGGATGCTTAACTGCCTGAGCCACCCAGGCGCCCAAATTTCCTCTTGTTCTTAAATACCAGTTTAGCTGGATCTTCGGATCTAGATTGTTATCTTCTCTCAACGCTTTCTGAGGACCCTTGTGATTACATTGGGCTAACACAGATAATACAGGATAATCTCTTCATCTCAAGATTCTTTCATAAAAATTAATCAATTTAAAAAATTGTAGGGGCGCCTGGGTGGCTCAGTCGGTTGGGTGTCCGACTTTGGCTCAGGTCATGATCTCACAGTCTGTGAGTTCGAGCCCCGTGTTGGGCTCTGTGCTGACCGCTCAGAGCCTGGAGCCTGCTTAATAGATTCTGTGTCTCCCTCTCTCTCTGACCCTCCCCCATTCATGTTCTGTCTCTCTCTGTCTCAAAATAAAAAACGTTTAAAAAAAATTAAAAATAAATAATTGTAAAAAAACACCATAAAACTTAGCATCTTACACGTGTAAGTAGGGTTAACTAGATTCACATTGTTGTGCAGCAGATCTGTAGGACTTTCCACCTTGCAAAACTGAAACTGTATCCATTGAACAACTCCCCACTTCCCCTTCCTACCAGCCCCTAGCCCCCACCATCCTACTCTCTTTGAATTGGATTACTCATATGAGAGGAATCATAGAGCGTTTGTCCTTCTGTGACTGGCTTATTTCACCTGGAATAACACGTCTGAGGTTTATCATGTTGTGGCAGATGTCAGAATTTCCTTCCTTTTTAAGGCTGAATAATACTCCATCATATGGATGGACCGCCTTCGCCTGCCAATGGATGCTTGGATTGCTTCCGTCCTGAGACTCTTAAAAACATCCCTTTTACCATGTAATGAAACACAACTCACAGGATCCAGGCATTAGGATATGTACCTGTTGGGGGTCTATCATTCAGCTGACCACACTATCCAATCATGTTATTATCCCACAAATTATGGACCCATTCTTTTGGGGTTGGGTGTTCCAGTGTTTTCTGGCTGGTGCCACCACACGGTCTTACCTTGCGGTGAATGGGCATGTACATTTCTGGGGGCACATGCCTAGGGATGAGATGTCTGGGTTAGGAAATACTGCCAGACAGTTTTCCAAAGTGGTAGTATCTGTTTACACTTCATAGCAGGGAATGTCATGGTGGGCATGTCATGGTAGCTCATTCTGATTTTAATTTGCACGTTATCTTGTCATATATTTATTGGCTGTAAACATCCTTTTTATGAAGTGCCCATTCAAGTATTTTGCCCATTTTTCTTTCAGGCCATCTGCCTCTCTCATTGGCTCATGTATTCTAACATGGATCCTTTTTGATACATGTAAAGCAGACGTTAAGTCTTTTTGTGGCCTGCCTTTCCCTTTCTTCGTCGTGTCTTTGGATGAACATGTTTTTAAGGCTTTTTCCTTTATGAATTAGTGCCTTTTCTGTCCTGTTTAAGAAATATTTACCCACTAAAGGTCATGGAGATGTTCTTCTACAGTTTTGTTTACTTTTCTCATTTAGATTTATGACCCCCCTGGAATAGATTTTGTGTACTATGAGTTAGGGATTGGTGTTATCTCTTGTCATGGGTATCAATTTGGCCCTGTGCCATTGGTGAAGACCCTAGCTCCCTGCAACACTGATGTGTGTCCCTTATCCTCAGGCAATAACATGGTGTGAGGCCCTTTCTGGACTCTTCTCCTCCGATCTTTCTTCAGTGGGAGGGAATCCCAGGGCTGGTTGGGGAAGCTTCCCTAAAGGTGGTGGGAAGCTTGTTGCCTCAGAACGGGGCTGCCCAGGCCCAAAGTCGCGTGGGTCCTCTCAAGGGTCTTTGCCCAGAATGGAGCGGCCAGACTCAGCCTCTCCACTTTCTTATCTTGCAGGCATAAGAGTTCCCACAGCTTTGTTGCCATGGGAATCTGGGTCTCTGCCCCACCCCCATTGCTCCCAGGCCTGGGGCAAAATCTGTCAGTCAAGGGTCTCCAGAGAAGCAGAACCAACAGGATGTGTCTAGAGAGAGAGAGCTGTATTTTGAGGAATTGGCTCATGTGATTACTGAGGCCTGGCTAGCCCAAAAGGACTGCTGCCTGCTGCCCACCCCAGTCCTGCCACGCCTGCAGGAGCCCCCCCCCCCAGGCCGCCAGGCCCCTCTGCTTTGACTGGGAATGTGAGCGGTTTCTGGGACTGTCTGTAAGGAGGCCGACAGAGCCTGGGGCTGCCTCATTTCTAGGGCCTGGCTGCTGTGAAAGAACTCATGTTTACCTCTCACACTGACAAAAACGCACCTGTTTCATAGTATCCAGAAATGGTGAATGTGTTCGTTTCTTGGGGTGGCTGTAAGAAGAACCACAGGCCTGGGGGCTTAAAACAATAGAAATGTACTTTCTCTCACTCTGGAGACCAGAATTCTGAAATCCAGGTGGCCACGCGGCCGGGCTCCCTCCAGAGGTTCCAGGGGAGGGTCCATCCAGCAGCGGCGCTAGGCAGTCCTGGCCTGGCCGCGTGGCTCTCTTCTCTGCCTCATCTCCACGTGGCCTCTCCTCTGCTGTCTCAAACCTCCTCCGCCTCTCTTTGTGAAAACACTTGTCCTTGAATTTAGTGCCTACCTGGATAATTCAGGATGATCTCAAGATTCTTATTATACCTGCAAAGATCCTTTTTTTTTTTTTTTTTTAAGACCCTTTTCTAAATAAGGTCACATTCAGAGGTCTTGGGGATTAGAATGTGGACACACCTTTTGGAGGCCACCATGCAGCACAGGTGGACGTGAAGAAGCCGGTAGGAGGGGTGCAAAGTGGAGCAGCCTCTCGGGAGCCCAATTGGACACGTGCGACAACATTGTATCTTATTTTTAATTTTTCTAATGTTTATTTTTGAGACACACACACACACACACACACACGCACACACACACACACACACACACACACACACACACAGCATGAGTGGGGGAAGGGCAGAGAGAGGGGGAGACACAGGATCCGAAGCAGGCTCCAGGCTCCGAGCTGTCAGCACAGAGCCTGGCGTGGGGCTTGAACTCATGGACCGTGAGATCACGACCTGAGCTGAAGTCGGACGCTTAACGGACTGAGCCACCCAGGCGCCCCGTACATGTTAAAGCACATACATCCTCCAACCTAGAAGCTTCACACCTCAGAACACGCCCCCCCCCCCACCCCCACCCCGGAGCCCTGCACAAAGACACCTGTGCTGAAAGGGCTTCTTGCTGATAGAGAGCTGCATCTGTCTCAACAAACGGGAGGCTCTAAGGCTTTGTTCTCAGGAGTGGCCTGAGAATCTGCATGCAGTATGTGAATGACAGAGCCTCTCCCGCCTCTCCTTCAGACATGGTGGAGATGATGCTGATGCAGAACGCACAGATGCACCAGATCATGATGCAAAACCTGATGCTCAAAGCCCTGCCCTCTGGGGGATCACAGGCCGCCCCTCTGCATTCCACCCCACAGGTAGGCTCGGCTGGGGACGGGCACCAGGGCAAAGGAGACAGGCCAGATCAAAGCCAGAGGACCTGGGTGGCTTTTCTTCTGGAAGTCTGTGTATCTGTGCAACTCTGAGAAGCACATTTCTGACTCCTGGGTCCATGACCCGCTTGTGAATACCCCCTGCTCCCAGTCCCACCCAGATGCGGGATGAGTTCTGCATTCTGGGGCCCAGAAAGCTGTCTCGTAGAGACGGGTGAGCTCTGCTGGAGCCTGGGCTTCTCCCCTCCCTTCCCTTCTTTCTTCCTATCTTCCCCTTGCCCTCCCCTCCTTCTCTTCCTCCATCCCCCTCCTCTACCCCTCCACCCCAACTCCCTCTACCCTTCTTCTCTTTGATGCCAATCCTGGGCTCTGACCGCCCCCCCTCCCCTTAGTTAGAAAGCAGGCAAGGGGAAAAAGGTGGACCCAGGGAGCAGCCTTTGTCCCTGTAGAAACGGGCCAGTGTGTGTACTGTGCTGAGTACCCACAGCGGGTTACCCCTGTCCTCCTGTGAGCCCAGAGGCAGAAGCCGCCCTCCGTGCATCACCACCACCACTATGCACCCCCAGCCCAGCTGCAGGCCTCCCCGGCGGGTTACTCCATGTGGCCCCCAGTGGTCTCAGCCACCATCCCCCCACCTGCTTCCGGCTTCCTGCACCACATGGCCAGCCCCTCCTTGGCAGCCCTTAGTGGGTAAGTCAAGGCCAGCTTCTTGGGTCTGTGGAGCGGGAGTACCCTAGGGCCTGGGTGGTACCTCCCCACCCCTGCTGACAAGCCAGGGGACCCCCGTCTTTGTCAGGTCCGTAGGCTGTAGCAGGGAATTTGGAAAGGCCCTGCTGTCTTCCAGAGGGAGGCAGGTGGGTCTTTGGCAGGATCAGCCCGTGGTGGTCGAGGGTTGAAAATGGACCCCATGCCCACCTCCAGGGAAGCTGCTTGTGGCCTGGGTCATTTGTTCAGCCCAGCAGGAGTGGTGCTGGGAGTATGAGCAGGGCTGTGGGGACCCCCACCTGAGCTCTGGCAGCACGACTCACCTGTAGCATGGTGTCTGTGAGCCAGGCCAGGGCAGTAACTGCACCCCGATATCTTGGCTTTCCTAGGGCGGCATCTGACGGCATCCTGCCCACACAGGCTCCGGGCCTGTGAAACTCCACGTGGGGGCTCGGTAAGCAGCAGGGTCCCAGTTCCCCAGCAGGTGTGGTCGGGGAGGCCCGGCAGAGGCCTGAAGCCTCGGCCCTGGATGCTGGACTGCCAGGCACGAGGAAATACAGGGATTTCACCAGGAGGGATGGCCCAGTTAGCCATATAAACCGTTAAACCTTCCTGTGGAAGAAATACCAGAAACAAGTCAAATCTGATGACGCCCGGGAGGTCTGCCTGCCACGAGCGGCCGAGGTGAGGGCTCCTGCCAGTCTCAAGAAGTGAAGCAGCAGTCGGGGATCTCTCGTGGGAGAGTATCTTTCCATGTGGGTCTGCGTGGCTCCTTCTACAAGTCAAACACCAAGTCGAATGTGGTTCCTTTCGAAGATGGCTGAGGAAAGGGAGCTTCCTCTGCATTTGTTCCTTTTGGTTCTGTCAGGGCTTCCGGTGGGAACGTCACCTTTAGTCTTTCTTCATTTTCTGTGACTTTTTTTTCTTGGTGGAATGATGTTCCCTTGACATGTTAATATAATTTTCACATGAGTGTCACATTTAAATGTTACAGCTGTTTTCATCTACCCCTTTTGGGAAAACCTATTTTCCCCAAGTTCTGCACCAGCGAGAGCCCTGCCTCCCTGGACCCTGCAGGCTCGTGGGATGTTGGCCCGGGGAAGGGGATGACCACGTGGCGGCCAGGATGCCTCCAGGGCGGGAGGGCGGCAGGGGCCCCCACCACGTGCCTGGCACACGCATCTCTTGTGAAAGGCAATTAAAGGTCTGACTCCATTGCTGATTTTCACGTTGACTTTTTTTTATTAAATTTTTTAATGTTTATTTATTTAAAAAAAATTTTTTTTTCAACGTTTTTATTTATTTTTGGGACAGAGAGAGACAGAGCATGAACGGGGGAGGGGCAGAGAGAGAGGGAGACACAGAATCGGAAACAGGCTCCAGGCTCTGAGCCATCTGCCCAGAGCCCGACGCGGGGCTCGAACTCACGGACCGCGAGATCGTGACCTGGCTGAAGTCGGATCGTGACCTGGCTGAAGTCGGACACTTAACCGACTGCGCCACCCAGGCGCCCCCTTTAACGTTTATTTTTAAGAGACAGAGAGAGCATGAGTGGGGGAGAGGCAGACAGAGAGGGAGACACAGAAACCGAAGCAGGCTCAGGCTCCGAGCTGTCAGCACAGAGCCTGACATGGGGCTTGAACACACGAACCGTGAGATCAGGACCTGAGCTGAAGTTGGCCGCTTAACCGACTGAGCCACCCAGGCGTCCCAGTGTTGATGTTTTCTAACATGGCTTTTCTCAACACAATTGGGTTTTATTTCTCAACACAATTATTAATTAAATACAGGGAGGAAGTTTAACAGAAGTTGGATGTCTTTGGATGGCCTGATAAATTGGAAAAACTCAGTTTTGTCTGTGTCTTGAGTGAGGAAAACCCAGTCCTTCCTCGTGAATGTCCTTTACTCACACATAGAACGGGCACTTCTGTCACTTCTAGTTACCAGTCCTCTCCGGCGTCACCAGGGTGTCCTGTCATCCAACTCGGTTCTGACACTGTCCACCTGCGTGAGGATGAAGTCCCGCGAGACTGCCCCCCCCCCCCCCACCAGCTGCAAGTGCAGTTGTCTCTGCTCCTGACCTGCTGGGTCAGGGAGCAGAGGTTCCCATGACCCCCTCTTCAGGTTTGATTACTTTGTTAGAGCTGTTCACAGAACTCGGGAAACACATTTGCCAGTTGAAGGATGTGATGAGGGGTGGGGCAGGTCTGGGAGGGTCCCCTGCACAGGAGCCTCCACCACGTGGAGTTGGGGTGCGTCACCCTTTCAGTGTGGATGTGTTTACTCACTTGGAGGCTCTTGGGACCCTGCGCTACTGGGATTTATGGGGACTTCCTCTCGTAGGCATGCCTGCGAGATAGACTAACTGCATTTCCAGCCCTTCTCCCTCTCTGGAGAATGGGATGGGAGGAAGGGGCTAACAGTTAACAAGCTTCCAATCATGGCAGGTCTTTTTGGGGGCCCGGCCCCCCCCCCCAGAAGCCCCTAAGAGTTGCCTCAGAACAAAAGACATGCCTGTCACCCAAGAAATTACAAGGGTTTCAGGAGCCTTCGGTCCACAGGGATAAAGGAAACATCTTCCTGCATCGAGGAGCGTCCAGGTGCCGTGACAGGACAGAGCAAGGCACCACTGGGCATCAAGTGGGGTCACAGTCGATGTGGGGCACAGGGGTGAAGGCAGCCCTCACGGGAGGGGGGGGTCCCCTTGGTTCTGCGCAGGCCGACCTGGGGATGCTAAAGAGGTCAGAGCGGGCCCTGGAAGAGAGCCGTGAACATGGAAGCAGTCACAACTTCTGACACTGCTACAAACCTGCCTGGGAGGGGGGTCTGAGCTCCAAGTGCCTGGAGCCCGGGGTGGAGGCTGGCTGTGCAGAACTTGACTGTGTGCTGTAAGAGCTACAGGTTTGGTCTTCACCCCCACTTCTGTCCAGAGCCCCAAACCCCACAGTCCCCTGATCTGTGGTAGAGGCGGACAGAGGCGTGTATACCCTGCTCCAAAGTGGGGGCAGTGCTGTGGGACTGAACCCTTAACCTGTGGGGTCTGAACAGACTCCTAGCACTTCATGTCAGAAGACGTATGAGTGAAGAAACTCACTCTCATGAAGAAACACTTCTCATGGCCGTGCCCTCCTGCCCCTTGGTGTGGGGTGCTGAGAAGTCGAAGACCTGTGAAAGGAGATACCATGTAGGCCTGGCCTGGAGCCCGAATGTCCCAGCTGCTCTGCAGACTTACTGTGCCTCTAATCGAGACTCCAGTGTTTCCTGGCACTCAGGAGCTGAATCTGGAGACCACAAGGGAGAGTAAAGGGCTGAAGAACCCAAGGGACCCCTGGAGCAGGAAGAAGGGCCTGTCCCGGCAGAGGCTGGGTTTGCAGAAGCTCTGGAATCAGGGCACTGTGGCCAGCTCAGGGGCGGGCAGAAGTGTCCAGGGGAATGAGACAGCCGAGACAGAGCTCCATGGCTGGATGGGACAGCCTTTTCTCAGATTTAGATCAGAAGGACACTGGCTTACATTCCCTATTGTTTTCAATGATACATAAAAACCCCTCTGAATCAATAAAAAAGAAAAACCAATACTTCACAGTGGAGGGGACGCCAATGAAAAGCCAGTCACTGCTGACAGGACAGATGCAGGCCAGCCTCAGTGCACACGTGACGGGGGTGGGGAGTCTGGGTGCATGGAGGCTGGGGTCTGGAAGCCAAGGTCATTGCTATGGGCTGCAGGGGGGACGAGTGACCAGGCCCCTGGGAAGCACTAGGCATTGCCTGATAAAGCTGGATCCCTCACCCCCAGCCCCCAGCAGTTCTGTTCTGAGGCCCAATCCCTGGCAGATCTCCCGAGCCCCACGTGACCAGAGATGCATGGGGGTTGGCTGTAACGGAAGACGGGGGAGCATCCGAAATGCCTGCTGACAGGACAGGCAGGTCTCAGGACCCCTTCCTTCTCTTAAAAAGAACCGTAACGCCAAGAGCTTTGTGGGGTCATCTTTGGTCTTTGCTGTTCGACTTTCCACTGAGAGCCAGCTTCCCTGGCTACAGGCAGGCTGCGCAGAGCCCATGAGCACTCAAGAACACCATGAGCCCACCTCTGTGTCCCTGAGCGCCTGGGGAAAGTCCAAGTGGAGACATGACAGATCCAGTGGGAAATGCATTTTCACCTTTTGAGATGGATTCATGGGAGAAACCAAATTCTCAGAATTGTAGTATCCCTGGTTTTGGGGCCAGAGTCCCCGAGAGGCTGTTTTATTGCCATGGCCTCTGCAGAGGTCACGGTGCCGCTGCCAACACCGGTACCTGGGAGGTCCGAGTGATGGAGGTCCGGGCTGGCTCAGCCAGCAGCCCATGGTCTGCTCCCATGATGCCCTGGGCCCATGAGCAGCTCTGGGTGAAGGTCTGTGCTGCCTCCTGGGCTTAATATTCAGAGGACAAGGCAAGAAACACAGGAAAGAGGATGGGATGTGGCAGTTGGAGCTCAGGGCTCCCCTGGAGCCAGGAGACACTTAACTTCACTCAGCGGGTGAACAGGGCCAACAGGGCTCGAGAGCTCCTGTCTTGTCAGGAAAGAGGCCTTAGGTAGAGTCCACAGGCAATGCTCCGAGCCGGGGCTGCAACCACCTCACGAGATGTGACGGGTGGGAGATGGCTGCTGTGGGTCACGTGACTGAGGTGGTCCCGGGCCTTGCGGCCACCCTAAGGGTCAGCCTTGTGTCTCCCCTCATGAAGGTACCAGGTCACAGCACTCTCGAGGGGTAAGTGGGGACCGAATCCAACAGGGTTCCCGTAGGAAGGAGGGTGAGGGGCACGCCCGCCCCTGGTTGATTTTCCTGCGCAGGCTGCACAGGCAGGAGAGAAGAATGCCTCTCGCCTAAGGCAGAACCCCAGGCGGATGAAGTTCCTGTGCTCCACCTCTCCATTCTAAGAGTTTAGAACTATCTTATCTGCAATACTGAAAATAACATGTCTGCTGGCTTCCAAATGAAGACATGAATGGACATTACTTTTTATACTTAGTCACTTCTGCAGCCCCACGGGGCAGTAGCAACCAGCAGAGCCCTCAGTTTGGTGGCGTGCCTGGTCCTCAGGGCCCGAAGGTGAGGGTCCATCTGCCCTCCACATGGTGTCCCTGTGTGCTGGAGAGTCCCTCAGGTGCCACTCACATCTTGGGCCTCCAGCAGTCAGAAGAGGCCCCTGCTTAGGGGCTGGAGACTGGTCCCGGTGCGCCGGCTCAGCTCCTCGAGAACCTGCTTTTCCTTCTGGTACATCTGAAAGAAGGGAATGGAAAGTGACTGTGGACTGCCTCATGGCCTGGCCCCAGGGGTGCCCTCTGGGGGAAGCCCATCCCCATGGCTGTGGCATGAGGAGCCTCTGCTGTGTGGACTCTCCCAGATTCAAAGTGCAGGACCTGGTTCCGCTCACCTTCACCCAGCGCTGCACAGGGAGTATGGACATGCTGCCTGTGGGGTGATGGGTGGGGACAGCAGGAGGGACTGGGGGCCAGGGGCTGAAGTAGTAGCCCTGGGTAAAAGAAGATGAGTCCCTATTTGGAATTGCAGAACAGGCCAGACAAGTCAGTGGGGCCCAGGAAATGTGGGAGGGGGACACATGAGGACAGCCCCTCCTGGGGGAAAGGGTGGTCAGTGCTTGCAGGGGTGGGGGGGGTGGTGGTGGGGGGTGGGTGGGTGGGTGAGGAAGTCCCAGGAGGGCTGGGGTCCCTGCCGGCGGTGACAACATGGACTTTCCAAGGTGCTGCCAGAGGGGGGCCAAGGGGCCTCATCAGGGTCAGTCTATGACTTGGAGGGGTGTGGCCACAGGCGACCCAGCCTGAGATAGACTGGATGTGAGGACAACTGTATCAAGGACTCTTGTTAATTGAAAACGTTTTTTGATGCCTTCCAGAGAACCCAATTATTTGACTACAAATATAATGTGAGCTTATTAAAAACAACATGTACATATACCAGCACACAACCTTATACATGGGGTAGATACACTGGCACTTCTGAAGGATAGGAATGGCTAAGTAACTTCACCCGATAGGTCCCTATCAGACGCCTGCATGATTTGAGTTCCCAACTGATCAATAACATCACAATTTCTCTTGTAAAGATTTTTTAACTTCAAACCATTAGAGTTTTATAGAACTTACAGAATTTGGTCTCTCTATTCAGTCGTTCCTTTCAACAGTGAATAAGTAATACAGTTAGTAGCATTGGGGGAGCCCGATATTTTGAACACTGCTAGTCTTTTTTTGTGAAATAAGCCTTTATAAAATTCCTTAATTTACTGCCTTTGTGTTTTGTTTTGTTTTGTTTTCCAAATCTGGTCTTCATACTTGACTGCAGGAGATAGCTAGGCAGCCCCGGTTCTTGGGGTGCCCTCTTGTGCATATGGTGGAGGACTGGAGGACAGCTCCTACCTTCTGCCATTCAGCCTCTGTGCTGTGTGTGAAGCCCAGCAGGTGACAGAGCCCATGGGTGGCGGTCACCTGTCAGAAAAATTAAAAAGCTGTTTCACGGACTGATCACGAGCAGGCCATGTGCCAGAGGAGGAGGAGCAGGGAAGGAAGGGAGAACTCAGCCCATGCGTGGTGGGAGGTTAGGAACCCAGGGGTGGAGGGTACCTGGGGCTGTGAGGGGTGCCTACGTGCAGTGGAGTGCCGGCCAGGAGGAGAGTGGCCGGCCTAGCCCTGTCGTGGGGGGATGAGGGTGGTGGGAGCGGCGGGCCGGCCCTCCCCTGCAGGCACTGGATCTCTGGGGTGTGGCAGGGGGTGCCGGAAGTGGATGCCCACGGCAGCCTGTGGGGTGCATGGCTGCCGGCCGCAGAGACCCTGGAGCCGAACCCCATGCTGAGCAGTCCTGTCTGTGCCAGGGCTCCTGCTCCCAGAAAGTCCACCCCCACCCCAGAAAGCAGGCCCCCAACACCTGTCACAATGGCTCTTGCTGGGAAGCTCTGCTTCAAGTCACACAGAAGCTCCAGGATCCCCTAGAGATAATTCAGGGGCTGTCTGGTCAAAGAAAAACACCTCAATCGAATCCATGAGGAAGTTAAAATACGATCGCTCTGCAGAACCACCCCTCCTTTCTTTTGCATCCAGCTGAGGAGAGTGGGATCTGGAAGTCCTAGAGGCTACAGTCCCATCTACTTTGACGGTTCTGTAAGGAGCTTATTCAGTAGGTCTGAGTTAGCTACACAGCCTGCTGAGCTCCAGAGGTAAAAGGGAAAAACAAGGCTGTTTCCGGGAGCTTCCGACATGTTTCCTGTCCTCTCCTCTCACCCAACACTGCTCGGCTTAGGCTCTTCCCTCTCTCTGCCAGATGACGAGAGAGGGTACAGCCCCTACTCGTAGGTCTCCCTCCCCCAATAATCCTTGTCCCACACGGGAGGCAGTGCGGGTGCCAGCGTCCCACCCATGACCTCTTCCCAGGCCCGGGCAAAGGACACGGCTGTGGCATCAGGGGCCAGCACTCATTCCCACTTACGGTAAGGACGTCATAGTAATCCTCATTCCCTTTGCATTGCTGGAAGATATACTCCACTCCTAGGAAAATGTCACCCAAATTGTAGTCATCTGGAAAATCAGGCTGGGGAAGTTCACCTGCTTTTACATTCTATAAATGAGGAAAGACAGATTCGGAGAGCACGACCTCAGGAACACTAACCCGACAACAGGCCTACACATTTCATTCTGGAAGACCCCTACTCATCAGTCCCAAGGCAGGTGAGGAGCGGGGGAACCACAGTAGAGCCACTGTTTACGAGTGACTTCAGATGTTTCTGATGTGGAGAACAAAGGCTAAAAAAAAATTTCCTTACAACTTACAGCCCATTGACAGTCCCTTGAAACAGGCAGAGTGACTTTCCTCTATGAGCTCAGCTGCCTCCATGATGACACTTTGCTAGGGGCAAAAGGCAACCTTAGCCTGACCCCCCAGGATCCTGTAAGCCTTCTTTAAACATATAGAAACTCCTTTAGAGGGGGGCCCGGATGCCTCAGTTTGTTAAGCGTCTGACTTAGCTCAGATCATGATCTCGCGGCTCGTGAGTTTGAGCCCTGCCTCGGGCTCTGTGCTGACAGCCCAGAGCCTGGAGCCTGCTTTGGATTCTGTGTCTTCCTCTTTCTCTGCCCTTCTCCCGCTTGTACTCTGTCTCTCAAAAATAAATAAACGTTAAAAAAAGAAAAAAAGGAAATTCCTTTGGAAACTTCCTTCATCTCTAGTCCCCAAGATATAGGTTAGCCATCATCCTCCAAGCATATGGTCCCCTGATATATATCTGAAGGGTCTCGTAAGTAAGGTTTTACAAGACAGAAGTAAATTAACTTCTTCTTACAATAGCTAACCCCCTCAGGGCTCTGGAAACCTTGCTTCCAAAGTTCCTTGGAGGGTTCCCCTGTCCCTGACCCTCTCCTGACTTGAAAGTGTAAAATCAGCGACTCCTCACAACCCAGTGCAGCTCTTCTTGCCCACAGGTCCCGTCCCTGTGCTTTAATAAAACTACCTTTTTTGCACCAAAGATGCCTCAAGAATTCTTTCTTGGCCGTCAGCTCAGAACCCCAACATTCCCACACCTTTTCCACCTTGTTGAAGGAGTTACTTTCCTTCTTTCATCCTTTCCAGTGCACAATCACACAAATCCACATCAGTCCAATTTTGTATTTCTGTTCTGTTTGTTATTTTGTCCTAAACAATCTTCCACATCTTCCTACATAAAACCAAAAAACCCCCAGTCTATTAATCTGAGGCCGGTTCACACTAAGCTAGTCACGTGTGGATGGGTATTTAGGGTGTTTCCTCCCCATCAGGAAGAAAAATCAACTGAACATTTAAAATTTTTATAACATTTTGTCTTCTTCTTTTTCTTGCTTTACCCTCCTTAAATGTGACACTAGTGGATTAAAGAGTACACATATGTTTCAAATGCTCTTGGAGTATATTGCCAAATTGCTTTCCAAAAAGGTCTGGATGCTGCTACTAATAATGGCTTTGAATGAGTCATTTCATGATGCAGCTCATAACCTAATCGCTATCTTTTATTGTTGAAAATATTTTTTCAGGGGCACCTGGGTGGCTCAGTTGGTTAAGCATCCAACTTTGGCTCAGGTCATGATCTCACGGTTCGTGGGTTTGAGCCCCTCATCTGGCTCGGTGCTGACAGCTCGGGGCCTGGAGCCTCTTTGAATTCTGTGTCTCCCTCTCTCTCTGCCCCTCCCATACTCGTATTCTCTCTCTCAAAAATAAACACTTAAAAAAAGAAGAAAATATTTCTTCAGTGTTATTTTACATTTTCAGTGAAAATTTCAGTGTTATTAAAATTTTTCAACCCTACCATACTTGTTACTGAATCACACAGTTGCAGAAGCACTCACTCCCCTTCAAACTCACTGACGGTCTTCTGAAGGATGGCACCAATCACTTTTTCTCCCCGGGTGATGGGTATTGGTCAATAGGGGCTGGTCATGCTGCACTCTACTCATGTGTACACTTTTTTTTTTTTTAAATGGTTATGATTTTGAGAGAGAGTGCAAGCAGGGGAGGGGCAGAGAGAGAGGGAGACAGAGAGAGAGGAGAATCCCAAGCAGACTCATGCTGTCAGCACAGTGCCCAAAGAGGGACCCTAACTCACAGACCCATGAGATCATGACTTGAGCCAAAACAAAGAGCCAGACACTTAACTGACTGAGCTGCCCAGGCTCCCCTCATGTGTATATTTTAAAGTTCTCTCTCTTTTTTTTTTTTTTTTCAAGTTTATTTATTTATTTACTTAGAGATAGAGTGAGAGCAGGGGAGGGGCAGAGAGAGAGAGAGAGAGAGAGAGAGAGAATCCCAAGCAGTCTCCACATGGCGAGATCTTGACCTGAGCCAAAATCAAGAGTTGGACTCTTAACGGACTAAGCCACCCAGGTGCCCCTATTTTAAAGTTTCCAAAACAAAACTTAAAAATCAGAGTATTTACACCAGAAGGTGGGCCAGACAAGACAATACTTTTTACCTCATGAAATGGAAAGGAAAGCACATCTGTTGGCAGATTTTTCTCTCTGTAGATTTTATTAATGTGCTGAATACTCTTGTTGTCAACACAGATGATCGCCAGGTCAAATTTCTGCACCCCTAATATACTCCTCACAATCTCCAACTTCTTGCGAAGAGGCGCTCTCCTGATGGGGACAGCTCGTTGCAGGTTTCTAAGCACCAAACTCATTTTCAGAACAACATGCCCTTTAAAAATGTTTAAAAAGGAGTCTGTGGTCAAAGTTTAAAAGAACACAAATCAGTAATTGAAAGTGGCAATAAATTCTATAAAATTCTATAAAAACACATACAGACCTCACATCATTTTATTTTGTGAAACTCACTGAAAAATTTAAGGGGATTCACATTTTACCATAAGAAAGATACAAAAATGAAGGAATATAATAGGAAGTCCTAGAGTCAGGCCTGCCAGAATGGAACAAAAGGTAGGAAATTAGGACCTGTAGTCAGGAAGGGGCCATTAATAACGAAACCGGGTTGGGGCGCGGGCGAGGAGGTGGAGGAAGAATACGGTGAGTTGTGAGGTGGCGTGGGGTTGTACAGGATGGGGGGAGAGGGAGGTGTAGGGTGCTATAGGGTGAGGGGGAGTGGGGAGGTGTGGGGTGAGGGGAGGGGAGGTGTGGGATCATATGGGGGGGAGCGTGGGAGGGTGCTATGGCGAGGTGTGTGTGAGCGGAGGCGGGGAGGGGTAGGGCCGAAGGGCGTGAGTCCTAGGGGGACGGCAGGGGTGGGGGAGTGGGTCGGGGGCTTCCCAAGGGACCACTCAGCGTGGCACCGAGGCTCCGAACGCAGGCTACGGGCAGCACGCGGGGTGCGAACGACGCCCCACTTTAGAGAGAGAGCCACCGGCTCACGTACCAGGTTCGAAGCCAAGGGGGCCCCGTTGACATCCCGTGCGCCGGAAGCCCTCAGGCCTTCCGGCTGGAGGGCGGAACCAGAGTGTGGCGGAGTCAGTGTGGGGCCGAGCCGCGCGGAAGGGCCGGAAGCTGGTCCGTTGCGTTTTCTTTCCGCAGCGCGCAGCGAAGGCCTGGCTCCGGCGGCTGCGATCCGTGTCTGCGCCTCCAGCCGGGCGCCGAGGGGCCCCGGGGCGGCGGCAGGCGGCGGGTCTCCGAGTCCCTGAGCCGGATGGTGAGCGCGGCGCGGGGCCCGACCTGGGTGGAGGCCGCTTCCTTCCCCTGCGCCATCTCCCCGCCCCGCCACCGCGCCCCTGTAGTCCGCCGAGCGGGCCTGGGGCGCGGGCGGTCGAGGGCCGGGGGCGGGACTTTTCTGGTTGCGCGGCATCCGTTCCCGGCCCTTCTCGGGTCTGGGGGCGGCCTCTCTGCGGGGCACTCGTCCTTTGAGCCGGTTTCTGGGTCATCGCAGGTATGGCAACACAATTTATTTCCATATCTGGGAAGAACATTTAGTGTTCTGGTTGCTGGGAGAAAATTAGAAAACACTGCAACACTAATGTTCTTAACAGCGTTACACTGTAGCTTTCTGGCTATGGAGATTGGAATAAGTTTGGAGAAACTCCTCTCTTTAAAAGTGTGACTACATTCATTTTCTTGTTGTTATTTGAGTTTTTTCGTGAACTTACCAATTCAGAAAATGATTTGAATTTTTCCTTAGTCTGAAGCATCACGCTTCAATCTCCAGTAACGAAGTAATTTATTTCTCCACCCTCTACTCCAGCCCTCCCCACAAACCCCCCACTGGCTCTCAGAAAATAATACCTAACCCTTTGATTTGCCCAATTTTCCATTATTCTTAGAGTGTGACATGTGTTTAAAAATTATCTTCTTAGTTTTCCAGCAGGACATAGCTGTGATGATCTCAATTTTTGTCTTCCAGCTTATTGTGAAGATGAGGGTGGCTTCCTAGTTGAACAGACTGTTTAAGGAAGAGAACAACTTGTGTACACATAGTATTCACTACCTTGGATCAGAAGATGAACCCAACCAATCCTTTCAGTGGGCAGCAGCCTGGGGTTTTTCCAGCATCCTCCAGTAGTTCCATAGGAACATTTCAGGCTAAGCCGCCATTTCGATTTGGTCAGCCCTCGCCTTTCGGACAAAGCAATACGTTATCTGGGAAAACGTCAGGCTTTTCACAGGTATCCGGCTTTCCAACATCTTCGGGAGTAAGTCATTCTTCTTCAGCACAAACATTAGGATTTTCCCAGACCTCAAATGTTGGACTGTTTTCAGGACTTGAACACACTCCAGCCTTTGTAGCTGCCTCTGGGCCTTCAAGTTCGTGTGTGCCTGGAAACCCAGGATTTAGTTTTAAATCATCCAACTTTGGGACTTTCCCAAGTACTTCTACATTTGGACCAGAAACTGGAGAAATAACAAGCTCTGGTTTTGGGAAAACAGAATTTAGCTTTAAACCTCTGGAAAATTCAGTGTTCAGACCAATATTGGGGGCTGAATCTGAGCCTGAGAAAACTCAGAGTCAAATTACTTCTGGATTTTTCACATTTTCTCACCCCATTAGTAGTGGACCTGGGGGACTGGCACCATTTTCTTTTTCTCAGGTGACAAGTACAGCTAGCAATTCAAATTTCACCTTTTCAAAACCAGTTAACAGTAATAATTCATCATCTGCCTTTGCCTCTGCTTTGTCAAACCAAAACGTAGAGGAAGAGAAGAGAGGCTCTAAATCACTATTTGGAAGTTCTAATAGTAGCTTCGCTAGCTTCCCCATATCGTCAGGGTCTTTGGGAGAACCCTACCCGGTTAGCAAAACCGGGGTCAGACAAGGATGTGAAGAAGGTATATCCCAAATGGAGCCACTTCCCAGCCTCATGAAAGGACTGAAAAGGAAGGAGGACCAGGATCGCTCCCCAAGGAGGCATGGCCATGATGGAGCAGAAGATGTGGACGCTCTGTCTAGGGGAGATCATCCTCCAGATAAACGACCTGTCCGCCTGAATCGACCCCGGGGAGGCACCTTGTTTGGTCGAACGATACAGGATGTCTTCAAAAGCAATAAAGAAGTAGGTCGTCTTGGCAACAAGGAATCTAAAAAGGAAGTTGGTTGTACTGAGTCCGCGGAAAATGACCCTGTGGCCATCCCAGGAGGGAGTCAGTCTTCCTCAGCACTTTCCCGGCTCCCAGGTGTGAAGGAGGAGGACACTGAAAGTAGAGATAAAAAAGAAGGTGAGCTCTAAAAATGTGTGCCATCCAGTAAATGCTGCTGGCTTGTTCTTGGTAAATTTCCCTGAGTCTTAGTTTAATGTTTCTGGTAAGTTTCCTGTAAACATTAGGAATTCTAACATAGGAAGAAAATGTCTTGTATCTATAAACATTTACTTTGCTCTTACATAGTTGGTGCTTCCTATTTGAGATGTGACATCTGCTACGTTTTTGTGCCCGTTCTCTTATCCCTAGATTCTCTAAGAGGAACACCTGGGCGTCAAAGTAAAAGAAGCGAGAGCACAGACAGTCTTGGAGGCTTGTCTCCTGCTGAAATCACAGCTATCCAGTGCAAGAACATCCCTGACTATCTCAACGACAGAACCATTTTGGAGAAACACTTTGGTAAAATTGCTAAAGTGCAGCGCATCTATACCAGGCGCAGCAAAAAGCTTGCCGTGGTATATTTTTTTGATCATGTGAGTATTTCCAACAAATTTAATGTGAGTGAGAAAAAGTTCGAGTGACCTTTGTCACTTTAAAACCTATTTTTTATTTATTTTATTTTTTAACTTTTTTTAATGTTCAGTGTGAGCAGCGGTTGGGGGGCAGAGAGAGAGGGAGACACAGAATCCAAGGCAGGTTCCAGGCTCTAAGCTGTCAGGAGCCCGATCTGGGGCTCAAACCCACGAACTGTGAGATCATGACCTGAGCTGAAGTTGGATGCTTAACTGAGTGAGCCACCCAGGTGCCCCATTAAAACTTATATTTTAATCTATCGCTTCCTTGCTAGAATGGGCAAGCACTCAGATATCTTATTCTCAACTTGGCTCTATAATCACATAGCATTTTTTCAAAATTGAGTTTTCTTGTTTGTTTCTGATTTTCTTTTATTTGGTCATAGTACATAATCACTAAACATTCCAACAATACAGAAAAAATCCCCATGTAATCCTATCCTCCAGGATAACTGACATTACTTATCTGGTTTATACCTTGACTTTAAATATGTATATAAGTACACATTTGCATGACGCATTAGTTGTAGGGTGTACGCATATGGGGATTGTTCACACTATGTTGCGTTATGTTTTTATTATTTCTGAATTTTCTTCTGGGGAAAAAGTATTTTAGAGTTTGTAAAGTGGAAAGCATGTTTTCATACTTCTTTTAAGTGATGATGTAGGGGAAAAACCAGATGAATATGAATATTTGAAATGAACTATGAATATTTTAGTTAATATCATTGTAAACACATAGTCACGTTGTTTTTACACAAATGGGATCATGCTGCATATACTGTTTGCTTATGTTTTCAGGTTGTAATCTTTAGTATTTTCTGAAATTAATAAATAGCCTAATTAGAAGAGAATTGTTAAGTGCTGTATGGCATTCTGTCCTGTTTACTTACCTGGTTAATTTTCTATTTGTGGACATTTTGTACATGTATTTCTGATTGGTTTACATCCTTTGTTTAAATTCCTGAGAGTAGAAGTTCTGTGCCAAAATACTTCCATAGCTTTAGAGTTTTTGCTGTTTGTTCCTTTCTTTCTTTTTTTCTTTCAATTCAGTGGCATTAATTACATTCAGAGTGTTGTACCACCATCACCATTATCTATTTCTAGAAGTTTGTCATCATCCCAAACAGTAACCCTAACCGCTAAGTAGTATTTTCCCATTTCTTCCTTCCCCAAGCCCTTGGTGACCTTTAATCTACTTTCTATCTCTCTAAATTTGCCTATTCTAGAAATTACATTTATGTGGAATCACAGTATTTGTCCTGCTTATTTTGGTCAGCATCACGTTTTCATTGTTTGTGTGGTTGTACTTTATTCCTTTTATGGATGAATAATAATTCCATTGTGTAGATGTATTTTTCTTTATTAATCTGTCGATGGACAGAGGCTGTTTCTGCTTTTTGGCTATTTTGAATAATGCTTCTGTGAACAGGTATGCAAATATTTCCTATCGTTCTCTTGGGTATACACTTAAAGTAGAAGTGCTGGGTCATATGCCTCGTTTTTGTTTTGTTTTTGAAGGTATTTGACTATTGAGATGTACTTTTCTAGCTGAACCCTAAAAAAATATTTATGAAATAGGTGTGTAAATACATTGTTGTAGGAAGTAGTTCATTGATACATACAATGCTGAGGTCTCCTGATTACCCTCATCTCTCCTGTTACCTGGGAGCAAGCACGGTTACCTAGTATGATGTGTATTTTTCTAGACCTTTTCGTAGGTTTGTCTATGGGTATACTAAAATGTACTTGATTTTGTGATAAAATGTATCCCACGTGTGTCATTCTCTTTTTTTTGTCTTTAAGTGTGACTTGGCAATCTTTCCAATACCGTATGTATTTACTGTATTACTGTATGTGTAATCAGATGGTGAGAGTCACCTCACCAAATGCCAACAAGGCTAATCTGTGGGTTCTACCACAGTAAAGTCATTACTTTCAAAAAGGAGAGGAGCAAATCCATGCCTGTGAGACAGGTAAGAGAGGTGAGGACCATGGCTGCTGTGACTGGAGGCAGACTGCACGGTCAGAACATGTAGTGGATGGAGGCTTCGCTCTGTACAAAACTGTACAAATTCTGCTACTGCATTTGAAGTTTTAATTTCATTTCCTTTGGTCTGACGTCCTCATACGTTGTGGTGTGGACGGTTTCCCTAGGCATCTGCAGCCCTGGCTAGGAAGAAGGGGAAAAGTCTGCATAAGGACATGGCTGTCTTTTGGCACAAGAAGAAACTGAGTGAGTTCCCGGTTACTCCCGGTGTGGGTTCCAGTGCTCTGCATGGACTGCCCACTGAGCTTTCCCCAGCACCAGGGCGGGGCTGGCTGTCCATGGATCCTGTGTCTCAGAGTGTTTCTTTGGGCTGCTTTGGAATCTCCCGTAACAA